ACGTAAGTAGTTCCTCCCCCATTGCGCGCCGAACATCCGTCGAACTTAAAACGCAAATCTATTAACTACCGTAGTAATATCACAAATTTTTGATGCTTATAGCATCTAACAAGATCTTAATAATATGTTTGAAGACATATTAAAATCTTAAATTAAATATTAAAGAAAGAAATAAATTTAAAACTGAGAAAAATAAGAATTTGTGAAGAATATCACATAGATGCTATAAGCATCAAAAATTTGTGATATTACTACGGTAGTTAATAGATTTGCGTTTTAAGTTCGACGGATGTTCGGCGCGCAATGGGGGGGGAACTACTTACGTGGTATATAATATTCACACTCTAACATATCTTATACATGGTCGCACCAATAACCGCGGAATAGCTCTCATTAGCCTGATTATTCTTGTTATTTGAAATATATACATGTTTTCCAAGACAAATATTATTTAGTTACACGTTTAACAATACATACATCTCGTATTTTGCTTTTTAAACGATTTAATTATAATAAAATTAATATAAATGCATAAAGATATTTGTCAAAACCTACAGATATTCATGTCTGATGTACGAGGTAAAGGTTTAGTGGTGTACGACTCATGTGCAAAGAGTATATGCAGAGTAGAATCTGATTACATGATACCCACTGAAAGCCTTTCTGTCGTAGCAAATCAAACATTTCCTTATGATGGCGGTATCTTCAGTACAATAACCCTTTACGATGGTGTGTACTCACTTTCTAACACAATGAATATTATTTTAATTGTAATTTGCATTATTTTATTTTATTATAGATACATGACAGATACTCAGAATATTAACTTAATTATTATATAAAAGTATAAAAGTACAGTTGTGTTAATGCGTGTTTGGAACAATATATAAAATACAAATCATTTCATTTTAAGTTATCAATATTATATTGTTAATTTCTGTGACTTTTTTATATATCTTTTTATATTTTAGATCTTTATTATGTTACTACGCCGGGAACAAAAATTTATAAAATAAAAATCAAGTCGTTACTAGAATGTCCAAATAAAAAAATGGCTAATGAACTAACTAAAGTTACAATTAAAATACCAAGCATTTCAGGACAAATAGCATCAGCAAGACATTCAATATTTTATTCTGATAACAATGGAAGTGCCATTTTGGGAACAAACGTCTTTACAAAATCTGATGCAAACACGGTAAGATATCAAAAATCATTCTTTACGTTAAAGACGATACCATAGGTATTACTATATTAGTCTTAACTCCATTAATAAGTATTAAATTTTATCGTCATTGTATGATCTTCCACTTTAAAAAAATATTAATTTTTAGCTGGTACTTGCACAAAACGATGAAAAACTTCAAGGTTTACCTTCCTTAAAAGCTTCAAGTTATTGGAATAAACTAATTGGTCTATCAAGTAGATATCATCTTTTCGTTTTTGGCACTGTAAACTTAAATGAAATAAACTTCCGTTATTACGAAATGGATTTAGCAGAAATACAAAAAAAGATGGATTCGATGTTTTGAAACACGAAGTGTTATTAGTTATCATTCGTATTTAGACAGACACATATATTTTTAAATATAGAAATATTAATTAAAATTTCGATTCTGCATTCGTATGTTATAACAATAATTTTAGTTATTAATTTAACACTGATTTATTATTAGCATTACATACATTATTTATGTAAATTTACATTGTGTATCTACACAGAGAAAGCTGCGCGTCGATGATCGCTAAATCGCTCAGCGCCTATTACTGTACCGATTACAAAAAAAATTTTCACAAAGCGATAAATACTGTGCGCGCGCTAGTCATCGCTAATTGGACAGTAATCACAGCTGCGCGCGCAGCACTGGTAGCTGTTTTGAATGCTACTCATCGCCTGCACGCGAAGCTCTGACAATGAGTACTGTGAAAAGGATTACTGTCCATCATCATTACTTGTTCGTAAAACAAATTTTCCGTACTAAGTACGTTTCTTCGTCCACGACACTTAACCGTCTACTGTTTATGTTTCGAAACATTTTGCTTGTTTAAATTCTTTTGCGCGCTGTAAGGACACATGTACGTCCGCGACACATTTTCGTTCGCTATTAATGACGTTATAGATACACGTTTCTTTTAGAGATGTGCAAAAAGATGAGCTTTAAATTTATTTGAAATAGAAATGTAAAGTAATTGTAATCTTTCCGTTTGGAAATACAAAATACGAAATGGATTTTAGACACCTATTTAGAATAAAAAATAGACGTGTATTTTTAAAATATTTATATTCTTATATTTAATTTTAAATGCTTATCTTATATATTAATTCTTATTTTTATTACGAACATTTTTTATAATTTTTTTATACTTTCTAATATTATTTTATAATTTTAATCCAAAATGAAAAACAATAGGAACAGGCAGAAATAATTTCAAAAATTAAATAAAATAAAAACAAGGCTACAACTCATTAAACGTTGTATACATATATATATATATAATATAACGTCATAAATAGCGGACGAAGAAGTGTCGCGAACGGACAAGTGTCCTTACGACTCGCAAAAGAATTAAAAAAAATGTTTCGGAACATAAACAGTGGACGATTAAGTGTCGTGGACGGAGAAATGTACTAGATAACTAGATGGTAAAATCTCTTACGAACAAGTGACGACGATGAAATATCGAACGATGAAATAGTAGAAGGTGAAATGTTTATAAACCTGAGTTTTGATCGAGTAATGCTTGAAATTGATTGTCTATAACCTTCTGAGGCGGTCATCTGAACTTTCAATAAGTAATAGTACAACTGTTGCGAAACTGCACTTTCTTGTAAACGTAACCATTGAGTAATATCAACCAATGTCTCATCAATAAGTACTACCCTCGAGATGTTATTATAATACACATGTAAACAAATTATAAATCATATTACACGTAATAACGTCGATAAGAATATTACAAAAGTTAAATATTAGTGATTGAATAATAAGTCCTTTTGAAGACATTTACGTATTAAATTAAAGTAATGGTAAAAATAGCTAATATAATTCCACAATTGCATTTCCAATATACATGTTTATATGTATTATTCAGTCATATTGTTTTACTGTTGCCATGCAAAAAGTTATATTAACTGCATAATTCTAATTATTAAAAGATGTACACAATTTAAGATATTTGCTTGTTACCGCCGCTTATTGCATTGCGTGATTAGATGTAAAAGAATAATTACTGTCCAAAACCATTCATTGCACCTTACAAAAAAATGCAAATTGTTGTAAAATCAAAGAGAAGTGTTGTGCTGCAACAAAACCTATTTTATTAATAATAAACACAGAAATCAAATCCATTGGTGTCCTTATTCCGTAAACCTGTTAAAACTGTATTTCAAGAATACGTAAAACTTTTGATTGCACTATAATGGAAACATATTTAATTTTTTTTTATCTTTGTCGAAAGTGTCATTAATGTAAAAAGACATTATACATATAAGCACTTTCTCGAGAGTGCTTTATTTCTTTAATAAAACTACACTATTATTGTAGGAAGTTAATTTCTAAATTTATTATCATTTAATGTCAATATATACGCGACTAGATGTAATAAAATATATTTAACGGTTTTTAATTTTGTTCAAACAGTTCTTTAATGGTTGGAGTTTTGAAATATTAAAATTTATTTTTTCTTTTAAATGCTTATATAAATATTACATAAACGGTATTTATCAATATGCGTTTAAATAATATTATTGACGTCTGCAAGCCGTTCGACTCAGTAAAAATTACAAATAGTAATAGTATTAATATTTAAGGTCCCTTGTGTTAAAAGATAAGAGTAAAATAGGTATATACGCCAAATAGGATACTGCCACATAAAATATTAAGGCAAAAATCTACCAATTAGAGAGATCGATTGGAAGTCTTGCAAAATGTACTCTCGATCCGTATAAGTTATATTGTTCTGTTCGATTATTAATGAAGAAAAGTAAAAAAAAATTAATTTTATTTGTCTTACAGTACATACCAATAAACATTAATAATTAAAATATGGTACGTTTCTGATGACCTTACTGACAAAAATAAAGCATTGAGTTGTTACTTATGTGTTGATAAGCCAGTGTAAAAAATAATGTAATATAGATGTTATCATAAGTCCTTTATAACACATAATTATTAATATCGGTAGAAAAATGAAACTTTTAAAGATATCTTCATGAGAATAGTGTATAAAAGAAGTAGCAAGCGATCATTAGTTGCATTTGCAATATGTATGTTAATTAGTGTAGTGTTACAATCCGAGAAAGTTATACTTTATTTTTAAAAGACGTACACAGATTAAAAAATCGCTTTGCTAGGGCATTCTATAATTACTTGTAAAAATTTGTACTATACTACTTCTATATACAACTATCTGTATCTTAAAAAAAAAATTGTTGTTAAACGCAAATCATTACATTTTAAGAACGTATAAGATATAAAAAACCATAATAATGTTGAAGGACTCTTTATAATAAAATAATATAAACGAATTTAAAAACAGTATATATATTTGCGCACGTCTTACAGCGTTGACTCCTAACAGCTGTTTTTAAATTTGTTTATAGTATAAGATATAATTCATTACAAAAAACAAAGAGAAATATTGTGCTGCATTAATATCTACTCTATTAACAATAAAGCGAATAGATCAAACGCATCAGAGATGCTTCTTTCTCAAAAAACAGTGTGTTACTAACTTACTGAAATTCTTTACAAGATTTTATTCAAAATTTCTTGCCTACTTCTGCATCGTAAGATGATGTAATTTCAGCAAACATAAAATAACAATTGTTAATAGATTAATTTAAAAAAAATATTTAATCCAAAGAACATCTATGCAATATTTTTCTAAAAATTCGGAATTCTAACTTGAAATTAGACCTTTTCTTAACATGAAAAGTCCCGCTTATTTAATTTCTCAGTGACAACATTATTGTTTGCAACTTATACACAAAGCTAAAAATGAGGTATCTCTTTTGTGACCTGTTAATTCTATGTGTGGTAATTACGAGTTTTGGAATCAAAGTAAATTATATATATGAATGGAAATATGCTGACTTCGTATGGGAAAGTAACGAACAGAAGGAAGACGCAATAAATTCTGGCACGTACAATCGTTCTGCGTGCCCGTTATACGATGTAGACAAAGCAGAAGGTAAATAGCAATTATCAAAGTTGCAATGATTTTCTGTAGAAATATCTTTATTAGAGTAAAAGCTTACTTTAAAATTTAACTATTAATCATATTGTATATTTATGCGTTTTTTAATGTATACTTCAATGATGTTAATGCAAGAAATAACACTGTCATAAAATTAGCGTGATAAACACATATTTTAATGACACAAGTAAGTTCTATTTATAAATAATATTCTTATAGATGGTAGAATATTCATTACTGCTTCGAGAGAAATAGGTCCTGGTGCACCTGCTACCTTGGCGACTATAACAGATGAGATAGGACCAGGAGGGCCACTTTTACGACCATATCCAGATTGGAGTTGGCATAATAGTAATTGTACGTGCGATGGTATTGTGAATGTAATGCGGATAAATGTAAGTATCAATCTTTCATTCAATTGTTTATATCACAACTTATACATGCTTATAAGTAATAATAATTAAATGATTGATAGTTCATTCTGTATTATGTATATTTATATGCACACACAGTAGTCAGTTTGATATTATATAAAAGAGAATCCTTGCTTTCACCTCAGATTAGGTGCAATCACATCTTCGCTCTGGATAGCGGTAAAATTGGGCCAGACCAGATTTGTAATCCAAAACTGTTGATCTTTAACTTGAAAGATGATACGCTGGTAAAAACTATTTATATTCCATTTGATATTGCTAGTAATGCAACGAGTACAGGATTCTTGATATCGCCATACGTTTATATTCCCGGTGAATGCACGCATTTTCTGGATAAAATGATTGTTAGTATATCCTTTCCTCAATAAACCATAATAAATAAGCATGTTTGCCAAAACAAATATTATATTATTTATTTATACGTTTTATCTATACATGCATTTCGTATTTTGCGTTTTAAATTCAATTATAATAAAATTAGTATAAATGCATAAAGGTATTTGTCAAAATCTGCAGGTATTCATGGCTGATTTACTAGGTAAAGGTTTAGTAGTGTTTGACTCATCTACGAAGAGTATGTGCAGAGTAGAATCCGATTACATGATACCCACTGAAAGCTTTGTTTCCATAGCAAATCAAAAATGTCCTTATGATGGCGGTATCTTTAGTATAGTAACTCTTTACGATGGTGAGTTCTCGCTTTCTAATGCAATAAACATATTTTAATTGTAATTTGTATTATTTTATCGTATTATACATAGATACATGATAGATACACAGAATCTTAACTGCACTATTATATGTAATCTCTCATATTTACAATTACATTCGTTTCTCTTTTTTGTTTAAATTGTATTATGATTATGTACCTTTGTGTGAATGCCTGTTAGTAACAATTTATAAATAATAAATGATTTTGATTCAAGTTATCAATATTATACTTTGTTAATTTTTTGGTATTTTGTACATTTTGTTATATTTTAGAACTTTATTTTGTTACTACGCCGGGAATGAAGATTTATAAAATAAAAATTAAATCATTACTAAAATGTCCAAATAAAAAATTGGCTAATGAACTAACTAATGTTGCGATTGAAATACCAAGTGATTCGGGACAAATAGCATCAGTAGGACATTCAATATTTTATAGTGATTCTGATGGTACTGCCATTTTGGGAACGAATGTTTTTAAAAAATCTGATTCAAACACGGTAAGGTATCCAAAATCATTTTTTACGTTAAAGACAATATTAAATTATACTACATTAGTCTTAACTGTATTAACAATTATAAAATTTTATCGTCTTTATTCGATTTTCCACTTTAAAGGAATATTAATTTTCAGGTAACACTTGCACAAAACTATGAAAAATTGCAAGCTATAAGTTCGATAAAAGTTTCACGTTATTGGAATAAGCTAATTTGTTTATCAGACAGATATCATCTTTTTGTTCTTGGTACTGTAAACTTAAATGAAATAAACTTCCGTTATTTCGAAATGGATTTATCAAAAGTACAAAAAAAGATGAATTCGATTTCGTGAAACACGAAATGTTAGTTGTAATTCGTATTTTGACAGACATTTATATTATTAAATATTGAAATATGGATTTCGATTCTACGCTCGTATGTTATAACAATAATTTTAATTATTAATTTAACACAGGTTTTTTGTTAGCATTATAAACGTTATTTATGTAAGTTTACATTGTGTAACCAGGTATATGTGGAAGAATTATATGTACATATACGAATTCATTCACATGAGTATGACCCTATTGGAGTCGAAAATTATATTTATATTAAATTTCATTGAATTATTTTAAATGTGTATAATTGTTATTATTTCAATTTAAATTTCGAAATTGTTTTACTGACACTTCGCCCTTCTTTTACAAACATTAGGAGACGCGGTAGTGTCTCCGGTCATGTTCAAAAGCTACTAGTTAATTTAAAAGTCAATTTAAAAGATTAATAATAGACACTACAAGTCTTTTGTTCCGAGCCACCAAAGTCCATTCTTCGAGGGTGTATAACTTCTAAAATATAAAAAATTTTTAATTGAACGTTATATGTCCGGAAATGCAGCATTGCCACGAGTAATTTGAGCCAAAAAAATTTTTAATCAAGTCAAGCCATTCTGGAGATACAAGCAGTCGAAAAGTGATGATTTTATAATGAAAAGTAATGAAACTTCTCCTTCTCTAGCTGTATGTATATCTGTTCGTCCATCCGTCCGTCCAAAATATGTAACTTTGTAACATCCCGTCTCACCTTTTACTCACATCTCTACTTATCCGTACCTCCAGATATCACTTGCATTTTAGAGTATAAATATGTACCCGAAAAATGGACTTTAGTGGCTCGGGATAAGAGACTTGTAGTGTCTTTCAGTTTTTGAATTATCTGTAGATATAATTATCAATGCATCAATTATCTGTAGAAATACCTTTATTAAAGCAAAAGCTTACTTTAATGCGTAACTATTTTTGAATATGGTTAGAAACACTACAGCGTCTCCCGATATATGAGAAAATAAGATACGGCTATATGAAATATTGAGGCAAACATCATCAATTTTATCAGTTCGAGAGATCAATTGGAAGACTTGCAAAATGTACTCTCGACCGTATACGTTACATATCGTTTTGTTTGATTATTAATAAAAAGAAGTAAAAAATATTTCTTTTATTTGTCTTACGGTACACATCTATAAAGTTAAAACATAGTACGTTTCTGATGACCTTACTGACAAAATGAAGCATTGAGTTGTTATTTATGTATGTGCAGATATGCGAGTGTCAAAAATGAATTATAAATGTTATCATAAGAGCCCTTTATAATACTTAATTACTACTATCGCTATAGAAGAATGAAGCTTTTAAAGGTATCTTCATGAGAATAGTGTATAAAAGATGTAGCAAGCGATTTTTAGTCGCATTTGCAATATATGTGTTAATTAGAGTAGAGTCGTCATATTTACTTTTGCAATCCAAAAAGTTGTACTTTATTTTTAAAAGACGTACGCAGTTTAAAAAATCGCCTCGATATTGCATTCTATTATTACAAGTAAAAATTTTTACTATAGTACTTCTATATACAACTGTCTGTGTCTTAAAAGAGAAATTGCTGTTAATCGCAAATCATTACATCTTAAGAACATATAAAATATAATTCATTACATAAAACAAAGAGAAATATTGTGATGCGTCAATATATACTTTATTAATAATAAAAATAAATAGATCAAACGCATCAGAGACGATTTCTTCTCAAAAAACAGTGTGTCGCTAATTTATTCATATTCTTTACAAGATTTTATTCAAAATTTCTTTCCTACCTCTATATCGTAACATAATGTAATTTCAGCAAACACAAAATAATAACTATTAATAGATTAATTTTCAAAAAATATTTATTCAAAAGAACACATGTAAATTTTTTTTAAAAAATAAAATTCTATCTTCAATTAAGACACTATCTTAACAGGAAAAGTCCCGTTTTATTTAATATCTCAGTGACAACATTATTGTCTGCAACCTATACACAAAGGGAAAAATGAGGTATCTCTTTTGTGACCTGTTAATTCTATGTATGGTAATTACGAGTTTTGGAATCAAAGTAAATTATATATATGAATGGAAATATGCTGACTTCGTATGGGAAAGTAACGAACAGAAGGAAGACGCAATAAATTCTGGCACGTACAATCGTTCTACGTGCCCGTTATTTGATGTAGACAAAGCAGAAGGTAAATAGCAATTATCAAAGTTGCATTAATTATATTTGTAGAAATACCTTTATTACAGCAAAAGCTTACTTTAATATTTAACTATTGATCATATTGTATATTTCTTTGTTTTAACATGTATATTTCCATGATATTAATGCAACAAATAACACTATCATAAAATTAGCGTAATAAATATATCTTTTATTGACACAAGGGAGTTCTATTTATAATTAATATTCTTATAGATGGTAGAATATTCGTTACTGCTTCGAGAGAACTAGGTCCTGGTGCACCTGCTACTTTGGCGACTGTAACAGATGAGATAGGACCAGGAGGGCCACTTTTACGACCATATCCGGATTGGAGTTGGCATAATAGTAATTGTACGTGCGATGGTATTGTGAGTGTTATACGGGTATACGTAAGTATCAAATTTTCATTCTATGGTTTTTTTCACATCTTATACATATCCATTTGTAATAATATTTGAATGATCGATAGTACATTCTATATTATGTATATTTACATACACACAACGTAATCATTTCGATGATGTGTAAAAGAGAATTCTTGTTTTCACCTCAGATTAGGTGCAATCACATCTTCGTTCTGGATAGCGGTACAATTGGGCCTGACCAGATTTGTAATCCAAAACTGTTGATCTTTAACTTGAAAAATGATACGCTAGTAAAAACTATTTATATTCCATTTGATATTGCTAGTAATACAACGGGTACTGGGGTATTGATAGCGCCTTTCGTTTATGTTTCCTGTGAATGTACGCATTTTCTGGATAAAATGATTGTTAGTATGTCCTCTCCTCAATAAATCATAATAATATATATTCATGTTTGACAAAGCAAATATTATTTAATTATGCGTTTAACAATACATACACCTCGTATTTTGCGTTCTAAATGATTTAATTATAATAAAATTAATTTAAATGCATAAAGACACATTTATCAAAACCTGCAGGTATTCATGGCTGATGTACGAGGCAAAGGTTTAGTGGTATATGACTCATCTACAAAGAGTATGTGCAGGATAGAATCTGATTACATGATACCCACTGGAAACTTTATTTCCATAGTAAATCAAAAATTTCCTTACGAAGGCGGTGTATTCAGTATAGTAACCCTTCACGATGGTGAGTTCTCGATTTCTAACACAATAAATATTATTTTAATTGTAATTTGAATTATTTTATCTTATTATAGATACATGACAGATACTCAGAATCTTAACTGCAGTATTATAGTAAACTCTCATATTTACACTTACGTTCGTTTCTATTTTTTGTTTAAATTGTTTTATGATTATGTACCTTTGTGTGAATGCATGTTTGTAACAATATAAAAAAATTATAATTGTTTCGTTTAAGTTAAAATTATAATTGTTTCAGGTTATCAATATTATTTTGTTAATTTTTGTGATATTTTATACATTTCTTTATATTTTAGAACTTTATTATTTTACTACACCGGGAATGAAAATTTATAAAATAAAAATCGAGTCATTACTAAAATGTCCAAGTAAAAAAACGGCTAATCAACAAACTAAAGTTGCGATTAAATTACCAAGCTATTCAGGACAAATAGCGTCAGCAGGACATTCAATATTTTATAGTGATACTGATCGTAATATCATTTTGGGAACGAATGTGTTTAAAAAATCTGATGCAAACACGGTAAAATATCCAAAATTATTTTTTACGTTAAAGACTATATTAGATTAGTTTTAACTGCATTAATAATTATAAAATTTTATCGTCTTTATATTAATTTTCAGGTAACACTTGCACAAAACGATGAAAAATTGCAAGCTATAAGTTCGTTAAAAGCTTCATTTTATTGGAATAAGCTAATTGGTCTATCAGATAGATTTCATCTTTTCGTTCTTGGTACTGTAAACTTAAATGAAATAAACTTCCGTTATTTCGAAATGGACTTAGCAAAAATACAAAAAAAGATGGATTCGATTTCTTGAAATACGATATGTTAGTTATCATTCGTATATATCATATTAACAGACATTTATATTATTGAATATTTAAGTATTAGTTACGATTTCCATTCTACGATCGTATGTTATAACAATAATTTTAATTATTAGTTATGTTATATGTAAGTTTACGTTATGTGCATATGTATACGGAAGAATTATATATACATACATATTACGTGTGCGTAAATCATTCTAAATCGGACGGCCTTCATCATCGAACCTTGCCGACCTTTTTACTGATTTTTCAATATGTTTAAATTAAAATATGTATAAGTTGAAAATAAACAAGAACTCTCAATATAAAAATAATCAATATAAATAAAAAAGGACGATATAAGAGTCAAACAATAAATTTACTTTTAAAAATAATACTAAACTGTCAGTACATTTAATTAAAATTTGAAAAGTAAAAAAATATATAAATATAAAACTAAGTATAAAAAAATATATAAATATAAAAATTACTTAAAATTGAATACATATCGCTACAAGTTTCGGCTCTAGGTTTGAGCCCTCTTCAGACGTTAAAAAACGGTGGACAAAATCATTCGCAGAAATTAAATAGTACAGTCTTCATTCTACTTCCGTGAGTCTCCAACAGATTTGGCATTACAATTATACATGACTGAGAAGTCAATGTATAATTACATCTCTGAAAAGATGGTAACAAACTTTCTTTATAGATGTTAAACAAATTATGTCAAAATTTCTGCAAGAAAACTCACAAAAGTCTGCACATTGCAGACATTGTGTCGATCAACTAATAACATTAAGTAACAGATGCAGTCTGAGCAAAAGACCAA